ATTTCATGTTAAATAAAATAAATAATACAATATGTAAACGTTATAACGACATCACAAAATGACAAGTTTCAAAAATTTATATGAATATATGAATCCCTACAAAAAAGTTTATGAGAAGCGAAGGTTAGTTTTAAAAAGATGATTTTTGAACGTTCAAAAAATGTTTAAAATGTTCAAAAGATGCTTGGAGCAAATCGATAATCCAAATCATAATCACACATAATCAACGCTGACCCATAAATTCAGAATGATTAGACTTTAATAATGCGGCTTTGGCGCAGTGGTTAGAGCGCTTGCTTTATAAGCAGGAGACCAGGTTCGAAACGAGTTTTGGACATATTTTGCGTCACGGTAAGGAAGCAGGCGTGAACTTCCTGGATAAATGCACTTCCGCGGTGCTCTGTGACAAGACCGTTAGGTCTTCTTGGGGCACCTAAATAACAAATTAAAAAAAAAAAAAATATTGCCACACATCGTATTTTCTTATCGGTTAATCTTTTAGTGTTCTATAGTTATTGTGTTTACAATCAGTGACGTATACTTAAAAATTTTAAACATTGTGTTATAATTAGAGTTCGTGCAATCTAAATGCTGCATTTTTTTTTCATCCATTTTTAGAAAAAAAATTTAAAAACGGTTTACAAAGAGGGTTTAGCTAAAAACAGACCATAAATTAGTCGCCCATTTGCAATAATTTTTCACCATTTGTCAGTTATCTTAATTAAACTTGTAAAACAAAAGCAAAAAAACAAAAAACATATATAGAATAATTTTGAGAATAAACAGAACTAAACTTTTTACTACAACTTTTTTATTTGTTTTAGAAAATATACCCTATGCACATGCTAATCGTCCTAGTTTTACTGATATTGTTTGGCGTTATCTAGTGATTGCAGACGCCATTGTCGTATAATGGTGTTGAAAATTCAATTGCATTGTGTGCATTTTTCAAAATGGACTTATTAACTATAATTAGAACTCCTAAAACAACATTTTCTTAACTAAATAAATACTTGTTGATTGCGGAAACCAAAAATTATGTTGTTTATAACTGAAACAGTAAAATTTAAAGATTGAATTTGAATTAACTTTATATGGTGATAAATTAACCTTATATGATAATTAGTTTGATAGATAATTAGTTGTATAAATAGTAATAAAAATAAATAGTAATAAAAAGCGCTAAATTTTAATTTTTATACTATCTAGGCATGCACAGGTAGTTAAATTATATTAAATATTAAAACAATTTTTATATGTAATTTAGTTCGGAGCAAAAGATTAAAATGTTTATTAAAACATTTTAAAGCAGAATATCTAAAAACATTAGGTAAAGAGTATCTAAAGTAGAATGTTTAATAACATTATTTAATTATTCAATATATACACTTTTATTTAATAACATAACCAAAGCAGAATGTGTAATAACATTTTGTAAGTTCTGCATGAAACTTAATTACTAGTTAGGAAATAGTCCACAAAATTGCTTAGTTTTGAAGGTCGGGCAAAAGTTGGTCTTTAAAGATGTTTTTCACGCAGTTATCAAAAAACATTACCAAAGCAGGGCCGACGACACGGGTTTCGATGTGGCTACTCCACATAAATGTCAATTTCTAAAAAAAAAAGGAAGGAAGGGGGGGGGGGGGAAGTGCCCTCAGGCTCCCAATGTTGTCGGTCTTTCAAAGCACTTGTTTGATTATTTATTTAGTTTTAAAGTTACTAAGTTTAGTTTTAGTTTTATTTATTTTTTCGCAAATAATATAGAACATCCAATTAACTTTTTAAGTTTCAGTAACTTGCATTTGAAAAAATTTAAATACCATGCACTATACGACACACGCTGCAGCATGCTTTTCAACATTTACATCAAGGCTACTACTTGGCAACCATTTTAAATAAATCAATTTTTCAAAGTGAGTATACTGTATAAAAAATCTGGAAATTAATTTTCTGTTCCATCAAATACCATCACAATTGTAATAAAACCAAAATAATTTTAAAAAGGTCGTTAATGAAACGACTTATTTAATGCAATTGGAATAACTCAACAATATGATTAATGGAAAAAAATTATATTCTGTAATAACATTGAAAACTTCAATTTTAAATTAAAAACATCAAATATTAGTTTCTTTTTAACACTAGGGTTAGTCGCAATTACTTACATCGCGTACATCGATCAAGTGGCATGTAAGAATCGGTTCGACAAATTGTACATACGCCAACGGTCGGGTAAAGTATATTTTTAAGTCATATTTTTATACTTTACTTTTTAATTTAATGAATCTTTCTTTTTTTTATACTGACTTTTTGACGTTACTATTATTCTAATACAACAGTTTACGATTTTATTCAAGTACTCACATGTTATTCCAGAATAAATTTTTTCCATGTTATTCCAGTATTGACGTTTTCGGCAACCCGTACGTTTTTACATGCTAAGAAATATTTTTCCAATATAAAATTTTCTGCTAATAAATTTGGTAATAAACTTGTATATTATTTATATCATACCTTAAAAAATATCATTAAATTCCAGCCCAAAATCAATAAACATTAAAACATTGATTTACGCAAGCTTCAAAACTTTTTTTTTTTGTATTTAGAAAATAGCAACTAGATAAATTTTTAGCAAATTTTAACGTAGTTTTTTCTTAATAGTACGTCATAGCTTAACTGAAATAACGAGTATATCTAAATTGCCTAATAAGCTTCTTAATAAACGACATTTCTTAAAAAAGAGATTTGAAAGGAAATTTTTTTTATAAATAATTGTCTTTTCATTGTATTAAATTCCGGTTTGGTAAAAGTCGTGTATTAACTGCTAATATTTTCATTAACGACAATTTAAACGCTTGTTATTTATAAATACAGTTATTGCTTTAAAATCAGTTTATATAGTCGTTTATAAAAATTATATAGCCTTAATGAAATAAAAAAAAATATACCCAATAAGAACAAGTGTAAAATGTCTTCAAAACAAACCGTCGCAAAGTGACTCAACAAAATACAAAAAATAAAAAATGGCAATTAACCTCTCACAACTTTTTTTACAATGATTTCTTATTTCAAAAGTAAAAATAAAATTTTTCGATAAAAATTTTTTTTTTGTATTTTATAGTTAAAAGAAGTTAGAAAAGTTTGATAATATTCTCAAAAAATCTAAAAAATGTGAGATTTTTATTTAAAAAAACGGAGAAACTTTTTAAATAAAAGTGTATAATTACTTTATAGATAAGATATATTATACTGATTATATATATATTTCAAATATACTGAAAAGAAAAAAGTAAATATGATTTTTTTGTTTAAATTTAAAGAACTTTTTAAAATAAAGTAGCAAATAATTGTAATTTTATGGTTTATATATCAGCTAAAAAAAATGTTTCCTAGAACTTCTGAAAATTTTTAGTAGTTTAAAAGTTGTTGATTATTATAAATCTTTTTTTTATGGACTATTTTTACAAAACTGCAAAAGTTTTTACATGATAGGATGTACCTCTTGTACTCCATGCATTTTTGTGCCTTTAATAAAGTTGGATTTTGATCATTGTTCCAAATAAAATGAAAGAAAGGCTTTTCTTAACGTTTTTAAATTTCGGTTATCTTGAACGGTTTAGAATAATTACATCATTCTCGTTATTAAAAGAGTTGATTATATTCAATAAGATAAGCATTTTTTTTTTTGCAGTTTCTATTTCTTATGCTTCCATTTTTTTTTTTTCCCTGCCAAAGCTCTGTAAAAAGTTACTCATGAATTCTATTGCGTATTTTAAATACCATAAAACAAAAAGAATATCACGTGAATAAAGTTTTAATTCCGTATAATTAACTATTACCTAAATAACAATTAGGATATTTGATATGTTTTTATCAACGGTTTTACCGATACGGTAACGTGTATAATATTATACTAACTTTCCGTAACGAATGTTAAACCAGTGATCAAAGCACGCGCATTTTTATTTGACTTTTGACAAAACCAAAAACACTTAAATTTTACGGGCAGTTTTCATCGAGTTTAAAGGTGAGTTTCCACTCATCCGTTTTTTCACGGGAACGGGAAAGGAAAGGTAAAAATAATCAATTGAGCATGCGTAGTTTTCCTTCGGATATATTAAAACTTATACTACGCATGCCCACGTGATTATTTTTCCCGTCCCTTTCCCGTTCCCGTAAAAAAACGGATGAGTGGAAACTCGCCTTAACACGTATTTTATGAGGTTTTAAAAATGCCTAGATTGTGACGAACACGTGTTTATATGGATTTAAATTCCGAAAGTAAAACTAGACGTGGTGGCTGGGTTAAGAAGTTACTGGTGCCTTGGAGAGATTATAATTATATAGTTGATAAAACTTTTGTCACTCCGTACATATTTTGGAACGAGATTATATATTTGCATTACGTTATTTATTACGAGAGATATATTATGTGTAAATTGTCACCAAGGTTATAAAGGGCAGTAAAAATAACTTGACTATTTATTAAAGAAAAATACGGGATAAATTACATTTTTTTTATAAACAATTTTTTCTATTAAAAATAATTTTTTCATAAATTATATTCCAAAAGTAGCCATTTTAACGACGTTACGGAATCAGGGAATCAGTGACAGGGGTGCTTATATTACAATTACAAAATTACTAATCCATAATTAACACAAGTCTAAATTTCAAAAAGAATTGCGATAGTTACCAAGTATAATAATGGTTACCAATAGCAAGTTCTTGAAAATTTAGAACTGAAACCAATTTTAATCTATTTTCAGTAAAATAAACAGATACCAAAAGCATTGCATCACAAACCAATGCCTCGATTGTGTAATTAATAAAATCCAAAAAAACACCTGCATTTATTCATCTGGATAAATACTCAAATACATCTTGCATCAACATTTGTTTATTGTTCTTCATTTAAATATTAGACATGCGCAATCAACACTTAAAAAGAAGTATAAAAAGTAGCTTTTATACAAACGTTCTTTACATACATCTTTTCTGATTTATCAATCATGAGATTTTTAGCAGTCCTTTTAGTTGTAGCTGCATTCGTTGCATTTAGTGAAGCCGAGGTATTTATAAACTTTTAAATAGGATATAAAATATCTAGATAACTAAATCAATTTATAGACAGTTATACATCAATAAGTATTTTTGACGTATACAAATATGACGCATATATAACTTAATACAACAATTGTTATTATTCTATTTTTTTTATAGTCTTGCAAAAAGGATGCAGACTGCAAAAATGGTTGTTGTGTGAATTTCTTACTTACTAAGCAATGTAATAGCTATGTTAAAGAAGGTGCACTCTGCGGTTTTCGTGTAAGTTTTTTAAAATTTAATAATTTTTGTTCTTTTACTTGTTTCTTTCAATTTAATTCTTAAAATCCTTAAGTTTTTCAGTTCTTTAAAAAATTTTTTTTTTTCATTTATTAATAAACTTAATTATTAACAATAGAAGACGCATAAAAAATATTCTAAAAAGTAAAATGAAATTTCCTTTCTTTATTATAATGGAAGAAAATGTTTTTCCAATTACAACCTTAAATATTTTGTGTTTTAAATATTTTATCTATTAATTTTTTTTATTCAAGTAGGTTTCTCCTTTTCTATTTTTAATTTTTTATGTTTAAGTTAGAAACAGCAGTTAATAAGTTTTTTCTAATATTTATTCTAATATTTAATTAAATCTAATAATAATTTTTCTAATATTAATAGGTTATTCTCATATTTCTATATGAATTTTTAGGAGCTTTAGAAACTAAAAGTTCTAAATTAAAATAAATTTTCATTTCGTTAAACAGCTTCAATTGGTTTCTTAAGTAGAAAAAAAAAAAAAAAAACTCCTTATACCTCTATAAACTATTGTAAATATTTATACCTCTATAAACTATTGTAAATTATAGTAAATATTTTAACAAGTATTAAAAAGAACATGTTATTTGCTTTTATTATTATTATTATATATACTTTTTAGGACAAATTTGCATGCGGTTGTGAACCAGGACTCGAATGCGTAAAAGTACGAGGAACTTTAACTGGGATGGTTAGAAGATGCGTTGACAATTCAGGAAGTGGATCTTTGTATTAAATTAAATACAGAAAAAAAAAAGATAAATTTAAAAAAGAAACAAATATATAATTCGAGTTAAATTATTAAAAAGTTTACATATTTTGCGTTCAAACCCTCAAGTTTAACGCTCTGCACGCAGCGTATACTGTAAAATCGCCTAAGTTCGGTTACTTTGAACATTCACAATAAAACAGGCAAAAATAAACGGTTTTTCAGTTTTTTTCCCTAGTAATACAGGCGTTTATCTGACAGTTCCCTTATATATTCCATTATATCGTTAATTTATATTGTAAAGATAAGACTTAAAAATTTCTTATCTTAACAATGTAAATTAAAAAAATAAAATTTATTTGAAATGAAACCAGGTAGTTTGACAGAACTTTCAATACCATCTCATAAGTTAGATCACTATATACATTCTACTATATATGTTCCAGTACATCGCAATATCACAAAATTAACATTCAAATTACACATCGCAATATCACAAATTTAACATCCAAATGACACACCGCAATATTACAAATTTAACATCCAAATTACACATCGCAAAATCAAAATTACATACTGCAAAAACATTTTCATTCACAAACTTAACATAAAAATATGATAACTAGTTTTCTGTTATTAAATAATAAAATTATGAAAAAAAAATCGTTTAATTAAATCTGAAAAGTTAAAAAATTAACAACTTTGATAAAAATGTGTTATGTTTTTGTTTGTTTGTTTGTTTGTTTTTTCATCTTTACAATGTTGTGATTCTACATAACTGGTACAATGTTATGTTTTTAAAATATATTATTAAATTAATATATATTAAAATATAATATATATATATATATATATATATATATATATATATATATATATATATATATATATATATATATATATATATATATATATATATATATATATATATATATATGTATATATATATATATATACATTATATATATAATATATATATATATATATATATATATATATATATGTATATCACAATATAAAATACAAAAAATATGATTTCAGGGTATCATTAATATTGAAAGAACGCGGGAAACTTGCAGAAGACCAGATGGTCTTGTCATCAAGAAACCGCTTGTACTTGTAATATTTTTTGTATATTCGTTTTACAATGTTTCTAGTTTCACAAAATACTCCATTTTATATTGGATCACATATAATAAAATGTAAAAAAAAAAAGAAAAAAATAATAAAAATTAATAATCAAAAATCATTTTTAGCAAACAAGTTTCTTTAGATTTAATTTTAATGCTAATTTTTTTTTTCAATACTTTACTTTTTTTAAATTTCAATAGTTTCAATATTTTAATTTCATGATTTGAAAACTCTTCTTTTGCAAACCAATTAATTAAACAGATTTCAAATAAACGATTTTTTTATGATTCTTATGCACAAAGCGTCAACAAATATTATTAAAGAAAAAAAAATTTGTAAAAATTGAAATGAGCACCGTAACCGTAACTTTGGCCAGCCGAGTTACTTTCGCCATTTTTTTAATTAAACATCTGTAACTTTTATACAGTAACGTTTTACTTTAAATAGTAATTTTCACTAAATTTTTTTCAACGTTATTTTTAAATATACCAATTATATTTTGAAATAAACGGTTTAGTTATTATTCATCAATGTTCGAAAAAATAAGTTACAAATTTATATTAACAATAGTTTGAAATTTACACATTTTTAACACACAAAAAAAAAAAAAATTAAAGCCAACCTATAATGAAATATTAATGCCTATGAATTTGAAACGACAATAGCAACATCATTAAAGCAGCTGTGGCGCAGTGATAGCACACTTGCCTCAGAAACGTAAGATTCGTGGTTCAAACCTACCACTGGACAAGTTTTGCGACATCGGTTGGGAAGGAGGCGCGAACTTCCTATTAAATGCTCTTCCGCGGTGCTCTGTGATAAGACCGTAAGGACTTTTTGGGGCACCTAAAATCAAAATAAAAAAAAAACAAAAACAAAACATCAATAATTACAATAAGCTCATATATGTTACTTTTTCGTGTGATTCTTAAAGTAATGCAAGAAGACCTTAAGGGCTTATCACAGAGCATAATGGAAAATAATTTAATAAGGAATTTCCCTACTTCTACCTCCGTAATGTTTTTTTTTTTGCTATTGGCTCCGAGATCAGCACTTTAACCAATACAGTTTCTATAAACATATGTTTTTGACAAATGATTTGCAATGGAAGTCAAATAACAGTTTCAAATTCAATAGCAATTCAAATTCAACCTCAAAAGGCTAAAGGCAAGCACATAAATACAAAATATATACTTTTCGAAATTAAGTTTTCATTAAGGAAGTGCGTCATCATTTATTGATGTTTAACTTTCATTTTATAATATTTTAGTTCAGAACACTCGCATTTTACGGACCTTTCTTTTTTATATTTGTTTATTTTATTTCTTTTTTACACTTAACTATATACAAATTTAAAACTTACAAAATTGTGTTCAAATATTTAATGCATATTAAATTTCACTTTACGGTAGAATAAGTGGTTAGCCGGTGGTAGAATAAGTGGTAGTCGGTGGAGGTTCCACCGCCTCCACCGGCTACCACATGGTAAATACAGTAGTGTTAAAGCTGTTCTCATAAGATTAGATTACGATGAGTAGTATTATTCTGTGAAAATTTTGAACCCTGCATATTATTAAGAAAAAAAGCTGTGCTAAAGCCCTCTTACATGAACGGCACTTTAACCATACCTTATAGACTGCTATGATTTAAGTGCACATACTTCTAATATTCTGAGCAAACCTTTTTTTCATCTATGTTTTTCCGTTTAAGAACAGTTACAATAATAAGATACATGAATAAATATTTACATAGACAGGAGAAAAATAAGACAATGTTAGTCTTACCGCTAAGTGCTTACCGCATTAATTAAAAGCTGCTCAATTCAAAATCAACCGCTCTTTTTGATAACATTACCTCTTCACGTACACGTTCACACATCCTATAGAAAACTTTGAACTAGAGTTTGATATAATATAACTTAATATAAAATTAAAATTTAGAAAACCTAATAAAAAAAAAGAAAAATAGTCACAAGTATGGAAAAAATATAAAAAAGCTATAAAACACAAAAAAAAAAAAAAAAAATAGAGGAAAAGATGGGTTAGAAAAAAAAAAAAAGTATACAACCCCCTGAAACGAGGGTGCTTTAAAAAGTTATAACTTTTGACCACTAAACTAGTTAGATAAAATTTAAACACCAAAAACATGCTGGTACAACCCCTGTAGAAAAACGTTTATTCAAAATATTTTAAATAATTTATTTTAATAATTGTACAATAAAAAGCTGTGGCGCAGTGGAAGCGCGTTTGCCTCAGAAACAAAGGATCCGTGATTCAAATCCCAGTTTTGCAACATCGGTTAGAAAGGAGGCGAAAACTGCGGTGCTCTGTGATAAGACCGAAAGGACTTCTTAAATAAAATTAAAAAAAATATTGTTTTATTTATTTATATATCATATTTGTTTAAAAGACATATATATGCTGCCATAGTGCATATCATATAAATTGTTAACATTTTAGCAGTAGTTGGTGTTTGTTACATCTGTGCATATCAGGCTCAGAACTGAATGTTTATAATACCACTACTAATATGCAAAATTCAAATGCAATATTTATTGCATTTTGGCATCTAGGACTTAAAATTTTCTAAAACAGTTTTTATTTTGATATAAAACAGTTTGGTTATAAACATAAACATCTGTTGTCAAAATATTTAGAAACCTTTTTGATTAAATTTATTTTTATAAAATAAATAAAATTGAATCAACTGATCAAATTTGCAAATACAAATTGCAATAATATTTGATAGTTAAGCTTCAATAATTTGACTGTAACTATGTGTGCTCAGTGGGCAACCTGAATACCATTATAAAGATATAAAAACGGGGTTTTAATTAAGCACTGCAGAGTCAAACCATTTTACTTGATTCAAATTTTTGTCCAAAATGAAATCAACGGTTATTTTGTTCATTATTGCTTTGTGCATTGTTTGCAGCGAAGGAATATTCTGGGTAAGAACTTGATTTATTTGTATTTGTATGATTGATTTTAGAAAAGTTTAGCTGATAACTAACTGGTAACTAAGTTGTTTTTCCAATTAATAGTTAAAATAGTGAGTTTAAAATATTTTTTATATTTTAAACTTTTTCTTTTTTATTTAGAAATTTTGCTCATCAAACAAAGATTGCCATGGAGGCTGTTGTGTTAAATTCGGGTTTTTTGGAAAATGCAAATCTTACGTAAAAGAAGGTGGACTCTGCGGTCTTAGCGTAAGTTATTCCAACTGTTTTCTTTTTTTAATTTAAAATGATTTCAAATTAACTTGTTAATTCTTTAATTTTAATTATTATATATATATATATATCAATTTTTTAAATAGAGGTATATATATAAATAAATAAATAAATAAATAAATAAATAAATAAATAAATATATATATATATATATATATATATATATATATATATATATATATATATACATATATATATATATATATATATATATATATATATATATATATATATATATATATATATATATATATATATATATATATATTTATTTATTTATATATCTAGCAAGCACTTGCATGTGGTTGCGAACCAGGACTTGACTGCGAGAAAGTAAGAGGAACTATTACAGGATTGATTAGGAAATGTGTTGACAACTCCGGAAGTGGTTCTTTGTATTAATTAAATGTACCTTTTTCAAAAAATATATACATAATTATTTTATTCAAAATTGTTTGTATATTATTGTATTGTACTTTTTACTTTGCATTTATTTTGATGTGTAAATATGGTAGATTATTTGCCTCCAAAAGATTCATTTTGAGATTTTATGGTATAGAGTAAAATTAGATCAAATGAGAGAGAGAGAGGATAGAATAAAATAGAGGATAGACTAAGATAATTTTATCAATGTTTATTCTAATGCTCCTAGTTGTTCATTGAATAAATATTATATAAAAATTTAAAACAAAGTAAATAATTTTGACTGTAAATGATCAAATTTTCGGTTGCGTAATAATTTTTTTTTTCTTTCTTTCTTTTTTTTTTTTTGAGCTTATTTCTAAGTTCTAGGAAGTGAAATTTGCTGTTATTGAACTTAAAATGTATATTTGCTATTTCCCGTAAAAAGTTATGAGTTAAAAACGGGAACGGTGAGCCTACAAAGTTGATGAAGTACGCCAATTATTCTCTCGATAAATATTTTTTATTGATTGATTTTATTGATTCTAAACTGACCTTATGACTAATCTTATGTTTAAACTTAATACCTTGATTACATGATTACTTATAAATAAACTTAATACCTTGATTACTTGATTACTTATAAATAAACTTAATACCTTGATTACTTGATTACTTTTAAATAAACTTAATACCTTGATTACTTGATTACTTATAAATAAACTTAATACCTTGATTACTTGATTACTTATAAATAAACTTAATACCTTGATTACTTGATTACTTATAAATAAACTTAATACCTTGATTACTTGATTACTCATAACTAAACTTAATAACTTGATTACTTGATTACTTATAACTAAACTTAATAACTTGATTACTTGATTACTTATAACTAAACTTAATAACTTATGACTAACTTGATTACTTATGACTAAACTTGATAAAACTTTGATAAAAGATTAATACCTTTTTTTAATTCTTTTAAAACATTTAAATTGATTAGTATCAAATCTATTCTAATAAAAAATATGCCATGAAAAACTTAGACGCAAAAAAAAAAAAAAAAAACCAACACGCCCTTGTAGTGGCGAAAATAAAAACTGACAAACTTTTACTCAACAAAGCTGTTGAATCACCATACTAGTCGAATCACCATACTAGTCGCATCTCTTTACAGGCGTAAATGAAACCATTGGCAGTGGTTCAAAAACAAGATTGCCGCATTATTTTGAATCATCTTTGGTTGATATTCTCATCGAATAATCCGATTCGAACTTACAATGACTATGACTTTAGTTACTAACTATTTAAAACGCCAAGTTCAATCTTATTTGTTTTTCAGCAGTACACCAGGGAAAAATTGGTAAAAGCTTTTCATTAACCGGTGAAGTCATAAGTTAAACCGTTAGCAATATTTCATCACTCAGAGCCGCTTCTTGCACGGAAGAAGTAGCAGCGAAGTATTTCAACACACTGCAAAGACAATTCAGCGAAGCAGGTATTAACGAAAACACTTCATGTCATTTGATAAAATTGGGCTCTCTGGTGATTAAAGAAAGCAACACAGAGTTTGCATACGTGGTGCCATCGAAATTGGTTAGCAATATTAAAAAAATCCTTTATACAGTTGGAAATTGCATCAATGCTGTTGGTTATCGTCTTGCGATAAATTATTTTTAAATCAAAGAAACGTCTGTGCAAAAATTGTTGCTTAAGTGGTCCAGACAATGTCATATATGCAACATCTCCTTCCGGATGGATGGAAAGTAAGCAATTCGTGCAATGTAGTCAACTCGCCTGCAACACGGTTGTTTCAAAGCAAACTTTACGTTTCTTGTTATTTTTTGAGAAAATATTGACTTAAAAGATTTTACTAAAACATTTATAACTTTTAAAATACTAGAGAAATAAAAACTTTCATCTAACGACATTTAATGCATTAGTAAAAATAACTTCCTGTTAAAATGATGAACTTTGCTGAATTTTAGTAATTTGATGTTACCTTTTATAAAAAAAAATCTGAAAAAATATATTTATGTTATTTATTATCAAATACACTAATTGTATAAAAACAAAAAAGCTTACTTGATTGTTAAAAGATAATTAAAGCAGACTTTATTGAAGTCTGAAAAAAAACCACAATTTTTGCAAAATTATGAAAAATATCGTTAAAAGAGAAATTAGCTGTTAAATGAAAACGTTTTTAAATCTATAAGTACTTATTTTAAAAAATAATTTTACAAAGCCGATAAATTCATTGCATTACAAAATAAAACCAGATTTCGAGTTTGGATTATTTAGTCTAAACATTTAAACCTCAAGCATTTTATTTCTTTCTGTGCATATAGTTCTAACAATATAGTGTTAGGCTAATAATAAATAAAGACTCAACAACTCTAATAAAATAGTTCATGACCAAATTTGGTCATGAACTATTTTATTAGAATTGTTGAGTCTTTGAGCTTGAGTTTTTGAGTCATTGAGTTAAAGTTTTTGAATTAACCTCGCTTTTGGTAGTAGAATTATTTTATAGCACTTAAATTAATAAAAAACCTCTTCTCACAAAAAAAAAATATCTGTTTAAATATACAAATAACTAATTTTAATTGTTTGATAATTTGTTTTTATTCTCATAAAAAACTGTTTTATAATCAGTTGGTCCTCTGATAATTTCTTTAAGCAGTAAACTACCTTTGTACACCCAGTTGATACTAGGTTCATACTTCATTCTAAATCAGAAGAATAATTACTCAACTCAATTGTGATTTTAAGGTTTTTCAGCAATCATACAATTTTGCACAAGCAGATGCAATTTTGTTGTACTGTTTTTAATCATTTTTTAAAAAAAAAAAAGTTGGAACTGCTCTTCCTGTTTTAGCCTAATAATTATAGTCTCTAATTGAGAAATTAATAAGTTACAATATGTGTTGAGAGTGCTACTTTTAGAATTTAAATCTGAAGTTTGAGCTTCCAACTTGAATACCTGCATTTTAAACTTCTCTATTTGTTCCACATTTGTTTCATTTTCAGAAATTAGTTGATAAATTTGACTCAGTAGTTCCTGACTCCTATTTAAAGTAAAGAAGTCATCTGTATCTACTGATTTTTTTTTTGGGGTGGAGCTTGCAACAGTTGCATTTAAAAAAATTCTTCTGTTTTTTATAGCTTCAAATTTTTGTATATTTCTTTTTTTGGCGTGTTAATTTTAGGCACACTTTATCAAACTCGTCATTACTATGCATATCAAAATTGACAAAAGAAAGCTTATAAAACTCATAAAAACATTGTTAGTGATTTTATTTGCCTTAACTAATCGCTTCACAAAAGGAATGTGTTGTTTCAAAATTTCTCTCTCAGTTGAATACATAGTTATTAAAATAGAATTGAATTAGTAATAAATATAATATAAACAAATAAATGATATTAATAAACAAATATATGTACTAGATAAAAATGGATTTAACAACTAATCTGATATTAGTTCGATAATCAAAAGAGAAAAATTCCGCGTAACTTTGCCTAAAAACAGTTGTTTGGACAAAATTCGTTTGGAACGTAACGCTTAAACGTTACGTCATCGCAATAAAACGTCAACACAAATGTACACCTTAACTAACAAGATTTGTTGTAAAACATGACATTTTCGAAAATATCTTTGATAACATAGCTGAAAGTACATAAAATAATTTTTTTATTTTCATTTTCATAAAAGGTTGAAATTTTAATAACTTACGTCGTCAATCAAAAATATCAGGCCAGATGAATACAAAAAGCAATTGCTTTTGCTCAGTAATTGGTCAGCTTTACATAAATAAAAACTTCCCCAATTTTGCTCAAACTTTGATTTATTTAAAGCTGAATAATTACTCAGAGCTCTTGGAGAAAATTGATTGATCAAAAATTTGAGCGAGTTTGCTAAAATTTGTATTCACGTAAGGCTGAACAGTTTTTCCAAAAAACCCGGTCTTTTAGGTTTTGGATTTAAAATCGGTAAATTAAAAAAAATAAATGCTTTAAAAGCAGTCTTATTGTACAGAAAATTACCAGGATGACGTAAGAATCAAATAGAATGGATATTCATGGCTAAGTGTTCCAAATTTCAATTATCATGCATAGAATTATGTTATTAAATTTTAATTGTTCAAACATAAAATATGCAAAATTTGCGTGATTTCAAATCAAACAGTTAATGGAAGAGAAAAGATGAAGTTTATAGAGCAAGATAACGATTAACAGACAATTTAAAAGATTGCAAATTATATGAATCAGGAAAGCAAGATGAAGAAAGCGAATTCCAAAAAACTGACGTTTGAAGAAAAGACCAGACAAATAAGAGTTTTTGGAGCACTTAGGAAGAGTTACAGAAAAAAGATTAGAGTTAACTGAATGATGAGTAAAATGAGAATAAATTTTAGTAGATGGCATAAGAGACGCTAGCTCTTCAGAGCAGTGCCCATTATAGTATTTGTAGAAAAGAAAAAGAGAAGCAACATTACTACGATGCAAAATGGTTGAAGTTGGCTGCAAGAGCAGGTTCAATTATGTTTACAATGCGTTTTTGTACCTTGTCTAAAAGAGAAAGGGCATCATTGGAAGATCTGCCCCAGATATAGCAACAGTATTCCATACAAGGACGGATTTAAGATTTATAGAGATAAAAAATACAACCCGGGGTATAAAAGTCAAATATGATAAAGAGATGCAACCTTAGCAGATGCTAATTTTGCAATGGATTTGTTATATGGTTTTCAAGAAAGATCGGAAAAGTTAATCCTTGAAGATGAAGAGTAGATGACTCGTTAAGTACATTCCGTTCATAAATATAATAAGGTCTGAATTATTGCAATAACAATTGGCTTAAAGAAACTGAGTTTTATCTGAATTAAATTTCACCAGCCACTGTGAGATCCATGCTGTAGTAGAAGTGAGATTCTTTTCAAGCTCAAATGCCCCCTCAAAACAATTAGAGAGTTTTGGCTTCTTATCAACACAAAAATAAGTGGTAGTATCATTCTTAGATGTAAGAATATCTGTAAGATTGTTAATGTAAGTTAAAAAGAGTTCCTTTAGGAACCCCTGATATTACAGGAAATGAAGAAGAATGCTGTCCATCGAAGATAACTT